CCTTTGTGGGGGTGGGTTTAGCCAAGATGGGCCATAGGGAAAGGACATATTACTGCCTTTGTATTTTTTGTTTTAAGATCTCCTCATTTCTTTGCTGGACCTTGGCTTCCTTCATGGTTCCCCACTGCTGCAGAACGAATCTTGGCTAATTGTATTTCTCAAGAATTCACTTCTGCCTCTAAGAGCTGATAAAGGCTTGGGGACACCAGTATTATTCAGCCCTAAAGTTCATATATTTTTGCAGGGTCCTCTTCAAGATTGGGGTACTTTTGGGGATCTAAAGGGTAAATCTCTAATGGTTAATTTTAACTCAATGGTAGGCACTGGATGGGAGCCAAGGTATCATTTAGTCCTCTTCCGATAACAAAATCATACCATGTGGGTGACTTCTTGCTTTCAAGGCCATGTCTACCCCACAGTTGGACCTCCTTGCCCTCAGCTCTTGAAAGATCTCTGCATGTCCACACCTGTTTCTGGAAGTGGGGCTTGTCTTAGATAGAAGTTCAGTTCCAGACTCAGGTGTCCCAGAAAGAACCACTTGGCTACTACTGGCCCAGCGCTGAGTCTTATGGTCCAGGCTGAGAACAAGCCTTGATTTAGGCTTCTGGTTTTGTTCCCCAGGGTCTGAACTCCTGTGTTCATAACTCGTCTAATATCTAGCTCCCCCTAAGATCCCTGCTATCCCATTTTCCAAGGGATTAGAGTCCTGGGACCTGCTGCCCACCTCCCCACATCCTATCTATATCCCCACATGCATCCCTATAGTCCTGTCTCCTGGACACTGTCCTCTTGTTCCATGTGTGCTGAGCCTTCCTGAAGTCCACTGCTTATCCTGGGGTCACCTAACTGATGTCTGTACTCTCTTAAGTACCCTATACCTTTCCCACGCCTGCCAACCATTCACTTATTGAATGTTTTTTGTGTGCAAGACTTAATGCTAATGGCAGTTTGTAAGTGTTCTCATCTCCACAGCCCACACAGGTTGGTTCTATTCTTATACCTGTCTGAAAGATGAAGTTGAAGTTCAGAGAGGTTAAGTAACTTCTCTGATATCCTATAAATAGCAAGTGGCAAGGCTAGAATTATAATCCATGTCTGTTTTTAACAGGAGCTCCCCTGCCTGCATGGTGTCTGGCCTTCCCCATCTGCAACTGAGGCTTTCCCAAGTGCCTGCTCTGCCCAGTAGGCACATGGTATTCTCTTTTGTCCTGCCCTGTCTGGACAGTGGGGTTAGTTCTGCTGCACCTGACTGGACCATGGGACATATATGGTGCAGATGACCACAGTCACACGAGTCTACACACACAGCTCCAGCCTTCTTGGGTGTTCCCTCCATGAACACTTTATGGCACCTAGTAGGACTCAATAAATATTTAAATGGATGAATGGATGACTGAGTGGTGGTAGCATGGAAGTTCCTTTCTTCACTTCTTGCTTTTCAAGGGTTCTACATTTTGTCATTCTTCTGTCATGCTGACCTTAATTCTGTACCATAGGTAAAATCGCCCAATACTAATGTTCAGTATCTTCCTGGGTCTAAAATGAAACCCATCTTTAGTTTGGATTCTTTTCTACAAATAACCAAGTTACTCAGCTCACTTCATAGAGAATCTTTTTATATCCTGCAGTGTGGGTACATGAGGAGAGATGATTACACTCCATTGTAGAACATGCCCAAGGTCACCTGTTGATAGCAAATGTGGTATAATAGGAAGCTTGAGCGTTCGCCACGAGTATTTGTCAATAGTGAAGATATTTCTACTTGAGACATGAATCGTACGAGAGTCACTTGAAATAAGTTATCTTCCATTATGTCGAGGTCTGGCTAAAGGGCAAGAGAAGCATCTTCTGAATTCTACTGTGTGTGTGTGCTCAGTTTCATGTGTATGTGGGTGCCTTCTCAAGTGTGGCTGTGTATCTGCACATTGGTATATGTATGTGTGTTGTATATATGTAATATGTGGGTGATTGTGTAAGTGAGTAGGTGTATATTTATGTTTGTATGTATGGTATGTGTGTGTGGGCACATCTTTGTGCTTGTAGGTATGTGGGTATACGTGTGTGTGTTTGCACATGGGTTTATGTGTTTGTCACGGGGTGTATGTACGTGTATGTGTGGGAAGGGAGAACCAGACTGAGATGCAAAGGTAAGCAAGGTTAGGCTCCTTCTTTGGGAGTTTGGGTAGGTTGTGGTGAACTTGGGTTTGCAAGAACACAGGCATATGATGAGTTTACCATGGCTAGAACTCACTATCCAGTGGAAATGATCTTGGATGAATTCATGTGTGGTCATATCGGAAATAAAGCTGTAATTTAGATGCTGTGGCCAGATGCATATAACATATGGATCATAGTTATGTAATATGGGGATTTAAGATATAGTAGTCTCATGAAAAAAAGACCTGACTCAGGAGGTTCAAATCATTTTTGGGGGGCCATTTAGTAGCTGTGTGATTTTGGGCCAGTCTATTTTCTTATCCATATGATAGGGTTAAAATTACCAATCCTAGGGGCGCCTGGGTGGCTCAGTAGGTTGAGTGGCCGACTTAGGCTCAGGTCGTGATCTCACAGCTTGTGAGTTCGAGCCCTGTGTCAGGCTCTGTGCTGACATCTCGGAGGTTCCTCCCTCTCTCTCTGCCCCAACCCACTCACATTCTGTCTCTGTCTCTGTCAAAAATAAATAAACATTAAAAAAGTTTTTTTAAAAAAAATTACCAATCCTAGCCTCTTCCATAGGCCTAGGGCACAAAATTTAAGGGTTGGTTTGACACTCAAAGTAAAGAAGCATGTGTGAAAAGCTCTAACAGCTGCAAATCTCTCTACAAAGATAAATTGTTCTCTGTCTGGCCTTGGGCTCATTAGTGTTTTTAAGAGATAATAATTGTTAGCCAGGGCAACGAGACCACAGTTCTGCATGAAGTGGCCTGGGTGGGCTCCTCTAGGCCACCAAACAGCAGAGGGAGATGAGCAGATTAGTAGTTGTTGGGAGGAGTGTCTTGGGGGGGCGGGGCTCACAAAAGACAGACTTGTTCGTAAAGAGTTTTTGAGTTTGACAGGATAGATACCCACTTCTGATGTTTTTGAGAACAGGCAGTGAAACAGATCCAGTCTACAATCCTATTCAATCTCAGAATGACGTGAGTCAAGGAGTCCAAGGTAGTCAGCCTGAAAATTCCGATGAGATAACTCTATAAGCAGAGTTTTGATGAAGGGAGATTCGAGGTCAGGTGAAATGGTAGGTTTAGGGACTGGGGATGAGGCCAAGCTACATCTCCCTTTTCCACTAGGGTAGGAGGTTCTCCTGGCTATGTGGTGGGCTCTGCTCAAGGAAAATATATATGTGTGATGGGGAGGGGGCAAGAGAAGATGAAGCTTCTTCACAGGCTGGTTACGTGAACACTGACAGGAGAATCCCATTTAAAAGCCACATTTAATGCACGAGAATGACCAATCACGACCCTCTTTCAGGGAGCTTTCTAGAAAGCACCACAGCACCAGTCATTGAGAAAAGTAGAAGACATTCTCTTGGAGAGATCAGGCAACCCACCCAAGATAACTGCTCCTCTATTCTTTTATGATTGGTGGTCTTAAGGGGATGGTCTGATGAAATTCTTTCCTTTCGATTTATTCTAACTCAGATGGAAGTGCCTGTCAGCAGGGCCAGGTGTCTAGGGCACAAAATGTGAGGAGCCACCCACTCTTAGTGCCTCCCTCAATTTTGCATTCCAGGAGGCTCGCTTGCCTCGCCAGAGTCCAGGCATTGCCCGGAAGACACGTTAAGACCCTCCCACTGGAAGGGAGGCCAGGAGTGCTGCCACCACTCAGCTCCCTCTGCCCCAGATCCCCTTGAAACCTGTCATTTTGGCTAGGGATCTTTCTGGGATATTGCCACCTGGGCAAGACTTCATGGTGGAAGCTTTAGCAGGTGCAGGTGCATGGAAATATTTTCAAGAACAAACACTCAGAGAAGGGAGAAACGACATGGTTTTGATAGGGTTTGAATCCAAAGTCCAATCTTGCCAGATTACATCAGTGGCTCCTGCCTTTTTGTGAGGAATTATCTCACATTCAACTGAATTTTTGACTTCCTGAGTGAAGGTAGTATTGGTGGAGTGGGATAATTGGAGGATGAGGACTGGGCAATAAAGTTACTGAACAGAAGAGGGGGTGAGACACTGGAGGGCCCCAGGGACCATGGCAGAGGGGTGGGGACAGTGGAGAGAGTGGCAGCATCTGGATTGGAAATCTACCAGGTAAGACTCGAGAGTCTGTCTGGGAGGTTGGAATCTCCCTGCTGGACACAGTGGGTACTGGTGACCCATTCTTCATGGATTCATGCCATTCTCTCCTTCCTTATTGGGTTAGCATCTTGAAGATGAACCATCAAATGCCTTCTCCTCTCCCTTCTCTGTACTCCCTCTCTCATTGTCTGGGGAGCTCCTGTGCCCCTCCTCCTCTCTCTATTGAACTTTCTCTTCCGTACATTATACTGTTGGATTTTCTACTGCCTATGCATGTCTGAATTTACTTTCGGATCCTGGAAAAATTCAGTCACTGAATCAAACAGATTAAAATAGTCCACCAATGGAATAAAGTGTCCCTGTATTACTTTGCTACTGTGCAGTTACAGAAGTCAGTCATTTCCACACATACCATCTTAGGTTGACATGACAGCTCTGTTTGGAAATATTATTGTCCCCACTTGATGGATCAGGAAACTGAGGCTCAGAGGAATTGGCTTTCCCAAGGGCAGCCAACTAGTAAGTGCTCAGTTTGGGACCAGAACTCAGCTCTTTGGATTCCTACTCCAGAACTTTTTCTACTGACCCTACTGCCTCTCCAGTCAACCCCAGGATGGATCTTGCAGAGCCATAAGAATGTTTTCAATCAGATTAACCCAGACTTTTTCTCCCATCCTGACCATCTTTTGACTACCTTTTCTGTAACTAATTCCTCCTACTCCGTCACATCCGCGTCCCCACACCCAATCAAACCCTCACCTGGATGGTTCAGATGGGACACTATTAAGTAGATGGTGAAGTCCAGGAAAGAACAGTTGCACCTCCATGGGTTTCCGCTCAGATACAGGGTCTGTAGTGTTATGAGGCTATGAAAGGCAGCATGGTCCAAGGTCTGCAAGCCGGTATTTCTGAGGTCCAGGTACCTCAGAGAGCTGGTGTTGGCAAAGGTGTACTTGTTGAGAGATAACAGGTGAGGGTTGTTGGAAATGTTCAGCTGCACCAGGTTGCTGAGCACGGAGAAACTGTATGGGGAGATCAAGGTTAGGTTGTTGGAGCTGAGATCAAGGTAGATGAGTTTGAAGACCCCGATGAAGGTATAATCCATCACCTCGCGAATCAGGTTATTCCGACAGTCCAAGTAAACAAGGTCACTGAGGAGTCCCAGAGTCATCGCTGGCAAAAAAGTGATGCCGTTATCATTCAGGTACAGCCTCCGGGTGTTCAGGGGTATGTCTGGGGGGTATTCGGTTAACCGGATCCCTGTGCAGATCACTTCTTGGGCTTGACACTGACAGTTATTTGGACACTTTGACCCCGATACCAGTCCCATTCCAAAGGAAAAGAGTAACCACCCGGGCCCAGGGCCTGAAGCAAGGGACATAGTAAGAAACCGCAACTACCCTCCTTCCACCTTCCTGCGGGCGCTGTCCCTCTGATCAGAAGGCTGCCGAGGGGCGGGGTGGTGGGGGGGAGGGGCGCTGGAAAGAACTGTAACACTCTAGCTTTGTGCAAAGCAATTTTCCATTACAGGAGAACAGAACAGAAGTTGAAATGCGAGGCCCAATGCCCCGCAGCCCGGCTGGGTGGCTCTGCCGCTTGCTCACTCCCAGGCTGCTGCTGGAAGCTTGCCCGCTTGGCGGCTTTGAAAGGTCTCACCCTTTCCCTGCGTTTGCAAGTGAAGGGGAGCCAGGGGAGAGCCACATGACAATGAGGTTGCCAGTTGACACCTTTGTGATGTCAGCAGCCTCAGGAGACTGCCTGGCTGAGGGAGGGAGAGTCCTGCCTCTCCTTCTGGGTGGTGTGGGGGTGTTGTGTGTGTCTCGGTAAGCTGGCTTTCCCCGGGGGAATCAGGGCCCTGCAGCATGGGGGTGGGGGGCCGGTTCACGGGGTGTGTGTGTGTGTGTGTGTGTGTGTGTACCAGTTCCCAGGGAGGTGTAGTAGAGGATTAGGTTAGGGATCCAACCTAAGAGGGACCTTGGCGGTGTTCAGCCCAGCTCCCTTCTATACTGAGGAGCAAAGTGACTTGTTTAAGGTCAGTTCTCAGAGTGGGTCTTTTCCTTGGGGAACGGATTCGGACAGGCGCCTGTTCTTGGTGGGAGAGGAAAGGGGAGCCTCCTTCGAATGAGGGAAGGGAATTCCTCTGATGAGGTGGTGCTCTGAAGATTGCATTCCTAGTGCACGTACAAGCCTTTCTGCATTTGGAATATATGTACGCTAGTATTTTCAAAAACCTTTAGAGCAAGTATAAGCTACTCCCCTTAACACAAAACTCAAATGTATGAGAAAATATCTGAGTGCGAGGATATGAACTATTTCTTACCCTTACTATTCTCCTGGGACTTTTAAAGTAGCGAGTGCCTCTCTAGAGTTTCTCGTGAGAGTTTATAGTCATTAACTGTTTGAGGGATGATGGGAAAGAGGGGTCTTTTGGAGGGAGGGATAGAGGATCTGGAAGCTGAAGAGTTAGGACGCATTATCTACTCCACGGAGGAAGGCATATTGGGCAGAAATGAAGAAAAAGCACCTCAGGAATGAAAATTTATGTTTTGGGGGAAAATAGGATTTCATAGGTAACCTAGCTGTGAATATTCATAAAATAATGCCACTTATATTTAGCTTAGCATAGTGCCTGGCACCTGGTGTGTAATAAATATTTATTGAATGAATGATGCGTGAATGTCTCTGATGGTTTGGTCCCTTTTCGTGTTTCTCTGCCAAGAGAGAAATTAATAAACTCAAGTGGATTTGTGGCTGGTTAGCTAATGCTTGATTATGTTTACTTACTCAGCATTCCTAGGGTGACTGGCCGTGAATTAAGATGATGACTTAGGAGTGTTTACCAAATTGAAAGTGACCTTATTTAAGTAGAAATTTCAAACACTTAAAATAATGACCCAAAGGATGGTTGAACTAATTGAAGCAGGATTTTATTGATGGGGGAGCCACCCTTTCCTTATAATTAAAAAAAAAAAAAAGTTCCTTGCTAGACCTTACATGATTGCCTGGGAGAGGAATTTCGCCTGTGAAGGCTATATATGGGGAAGAATTAATTTCTGGGGCGATGGCTTCCCCTGGGGGCCAAGACAAGTTGAGGGTGTGGTTTGGAGGGGGTGTGGTAGGAATGCCACATTCCTTCCCAGTGGGCTGGGTTTGCTTTTTTTTTTTTTTTTAAGCTTATTCATTTATTTTTAGAGAGAGACAGAGAGGGAGAGAGAGGGCATGAGTGGGGGAGGGGCAGAGAGAGAGGGAGACACAGAATCCCAAGCAGGCTCCACAGGGTCAGCACAGAGCCCAAAGCAGGGCTCGAACTCATGAACCATGAGATCATGACCTGAGCTGAAATCCAGAGTTGGCTGCTTAACTGACTGAGCCACCCAGGTGCCCCCATCCATTTCCTTTTGGGGAGAGATGATGGCTGACTGGTTTGCCAAAGCTTGTGGAGTGATTTTTCTGCCTCTCTCCTTCTTTCTGACTCTTCCTTTCAGGGGAGCTAGCGTGTCCAGGTTTACGCGTTTAATTTCTAGCCGCCGCATGTGGATGCACTTTCTCAAGGCAGCAGCCTCTGGCTCAGGCTTTGTTGTTTGGCCATATGATTGCAAGTGCTCTCACTTGGAAAAGACTCGGACAAACAAAGTGCATTAAAAGTTATCAGGGACGCCAGTCAGTTATGTCTCTCTCTCTCTCTCCAGAGCATTGCCATTTTAGCAAAGCCTCATGAATGGTTAAATCGAGAAATAGTCCTTGGCCTGGGGTAGCTGTGTGCTTTGTGGTCCTGAAGTCTGCACGCCCATAGGCTGGTTCCAGCTCTGCCAGGTTAGACCAGATCCCTCAAACGTGGTCCTCGTTTTGAGACTAAATATTTGTTAGATAGAGAATGAGGCCTTTCCCAACTACTTGATCTCAGAACCTTTAAGACAATTTCTCTTCAAGGAACATCTACGAGACTCTTATTTCAGGGATCCTGCTCTGGGAAGTTCTGGACTAGGCTGTTTGCCCTTGGCAGAGTTGCTTAATGTCTCTGTGCTTTATTTTTCTCATCTGTATATTGAGGGCGGTGAACGAGAGAATTTCCAACCCTCCTTAGGACTGCTGAATTCCTACATCATGGGAAGATTTCAGGCCCCACAGGGAGCCACTAGGGGAGGGCCAAGAGAAAGCCTTCCTGTTCCTTCTGATGACCCCCTGTGGCCCCACGTGGTCAGATGGCTGCAGAAATAGAGTCTGCTTGCCCCAGCTTCAGAAGCAGCTGGGTTGCCCTTAGTGTATATAGCTGTTTGCTGAGCCCACCTCTGCCCCTGAGGTGGCCGGGGTGGCTGTCCTTCCAGTAGCACTGGTGGGTATCAGGTGAACTCGGTGAGGAGCACCTGGTCTCAGTGCACACTCACTAGCTGAGGCTGCTCTTGGGCCGGCTCCTATTTTTAGCTGTATCTGACAGAGACAGCTTCCCACTTACCGATCCCTCTCGAGTGCCAGTGTGCCTCCCAACAGACTCTCATGATCCAAAAGACAGGTGGGCACAGTCCTTGATGTTATAAAAAGGCAAGGGGGGGCAAAGTGGATACAGCCAGGACCCTTGATTTCCATCCCCTCCCAGGGCCTTGGTTTCCTTTCTATAGAACAAGGCGGGATGCTCTCTGAGCACCCGCCCAAGTGTAAGGTTCCATCAAGAGCCAGTCTGTGCAGGGCAAGGACAGATGCTTGAAGCCTTAAGACCCGAGCACCAGGACAGATTCCAGCGACTGCATGGTGCCCGGCACAGGGCAAACAGTTTGTAAATGTTAGCCAGTGCCTGTTCCATCCGACGCCTGGGAGCAAGGGCCGGGGGCAATATAATTTCGGCATACTTGTATTTTCTCAGGAGAAAAATAGAAAGAAATGCCGGTGCCATTTTATTCAGTTAAGACTGCTCATGTGTTCAACTCAGGACTCTCCACAGGGTTAGCAACCTAGCGGCGTAGAAGTCAGTTCTCTGTTCTGCTTCCTGGGCCAGGAATTCAGTGGGTGCAGGTCTAACGAATGCAGAATGCTAAGGACTTTGATGTCAAAGCTGCTTATGGCATCCAGGTCACTCCAGACTTATGACAGTGCTTGTGTCCTATTCAGCAGGGCCGTCGAGGCAGGTATGGGGCTGGGGGCAAGTCCCACGGAAAACAGATTGATGATGAACAGGAAAGACAGCCTGGAAGAGAAAAGAAGTTGTAATATATGCCAGGAAGGTGGGGCCTAAGGGCCAAATATGTCTGTCTGTCTGTCTACCTATAGATAGATTTATCTCTACCTATCTATCCATCCATATATCTATCATCTATATCTTTATCTGTCATCTATTCATGTATCATCTCTATATCCATCCATCCATCCATGCACCCATCCATCCATCCACCTGTCATCTATATCTATCTATCTATCTATCTATCTATCTATCTATCTATCTATCTATCTATCTATCTATCTTATTATCTATATCATCTATCATTTATATCTATCTATAATTTATCTGTTATCTATCTATATCTATCATCTATCTTATCTATTTATCTATATCTATCATATCTATGTATCTACCTACCTATCTACCTATCATATCTATCTATCTCTCATCTATCTGTCATCTGTCTATAATTTATGTGTTATCTATCTATAATTGATTTGTTATCTATCTATACCTATCATCTATCATTTATCTATTATCTATATCTATCATAGCTATCTATCTACCTACCTACCTATCTACCTATCTATTGTATCTATTTATCTATCTGTTGTCTATCTATCTATCTATCTATCTATCTATCTATCATTTATCTATTAGCTATCTAGCTAGCTAGCTGTGAGCCTTGGGTCTGTTTTTAGTACCACCTGGTGTGAACTATTTTTGTCTTTCTCCTTCAGGTTGCCTGAGTCCCTGCTCAGGAGATTGGACCTTTACAAGAGTGTAGGCCAGAGGAAATCACTCCAATTGCTGTGTTCCCCAGGGATATCTTTGTTTTCAGCCTCCCCCTACATTATACATTTCTGTAGTATTTATTATCTAGAGGAATCTAAGGGAAGCCCTTGAAATTGCATACCGTTTTGGGGAGATTGGATCACCTTCTCAGCTTATAACAGACTTATATACTAACGCCCAAGGCTAGGCTTATAGGTGCAGTAGTCATTATGCCTGAAACCCGCACTGCGACTTTGTCTGAGCCCATTGATTTGGGAGGAGACCATGGGAGAGACACCTGTGTTGTGGTATGAGCTTCGGAAGGAGAAACTCCTTGCCGAGTGACTTCAGGCAAACACTTCAGCTTCTATGGACATGTTTCTTTTTGATAAAATAGGGATGCCAAATAATGCTTCTCCAGGATTGCTATAAAGATTGAGTATCATTTAATATAA